CTGAACCGTGCAAAAAATGGGATCGTCGTCGCGACTTTCAGTAGTAACAGTAGCTCTCGCATTGAGCAGTGGCCAAGCCTCATTATACTGCCGATTGTTCGCCATTGTAGAGAGAATCGAGAAATTGTAGCGAGCTTAATAGGCTCTTGATACCATGTAGAAAAACCAGAGAAAATTGTAAAGAAATTCAACACAAAATATCTGGAATCAAACTTTCCATTTCTGTAAAACTCATAGCTCAAAAGTGACGGGCACAAACATTAAATACCCGTGTCACCTATTTAACCCTCATGTGCCCAAAACGACGTAGTTTTGGGCAGCAACTAAAATAACAAAGAAACGACATCGTTTGGAATAAAAAAAAACGCAACAGAGAAGTAATAAAAAAAAGCCACACGATTTCAAGAACAAAGAGAACAAAAATAAGCTGCATGAACATGCAGTCCTTCAATCTGCTCCATCTTCATCATTCAAGCTTGTATATTTCAACAAACTGCAAAGTGCTCTTGTCGTAATTTTTAGACTATGAGAGAATTCAATGTTGGGTCATGTTATATTCATAACTATTGAGATAGAGATGTCGGTCACTCACCTGCCTTTCAATGTCGGTCACTCACATGCCTTTCATGCAGGTGAAGGATCTTTGGACGAAGGAGATTTTGGGATAGAGATAAGATGAAGGAGATTCTAGGTGAGGGTGGGGGTTTTAGTAGTCTAGAGATTAATCAGATCCGACAGATTCTCATTCTGGAGGGAGGTTTGGACAACATGAGGTGGAGACTTACATCTTCGGGTGCATTCTCTACATCCTCGGTCTGGGGAGATGTGAGGCTGGGTAACCGGCCTAACCTACTCTTCGGGGATATCTGGACCGACCTTCTCACCCCGACCATTTCCGTCTTTTTGTGGCGCCTCCTATTACGGCGCATTCCCATTAACACTGTGATGCAGGCGAGGGGGTTATCCTTTCCCTCTCGTTGCCATTGTTGTGTTGAGACCGGTACCTTTGAGATCGAGACTTTCTCCCATCTTTTCCTTGAGAGTGTGATTGTGAGGAGAGTGTGGGAGCACTATGCCAGATATACTCATATACCCCTACCCACTACAGACAGTTTTTTTAAGCTCCTGTGTTTTTTCTCACACCGCACACACAGTAACGTGGGCTTCCTTATTCCTTGTCTAATACTATGGGCCACCTGGACAGAAAGGAATAATGCGAAGCATAGGGATATTATTTTTTCTTGTACTCACATCATTTTGCAGGTTGACAGACACCTCTCTCTCTTCACCGCCCTGGGCAGACTCACAACGAGAGATTGGACAGGTTGTACACCACCCCATCGCTGGAGACCACCACCTCCTTTACCTGTCCAGCACCCACGACCCAGGACCGTTGTTTGGCTGAAACCCAAGCCTCCTTGGGTTAAGCTAAACACTGAGGGTGCATTCGACAGACATACCGGAGCTGATGGAGAAGGGGGCCTGATTAGGGATCATGGGGTGGGGGGGCACTCATCTCTGCCTTTCATGGAGCACTCCGGGCCTCCTCGAGTTATGATGCGGAGATTCAGGCGCTCCAGATTGGTCTTGAGATTGCTGGCTCGATCTCCTCCCATATCTGGATAGAGATGGATACTGCAGCTGTCATCACACTTCTGACATCTGGCCACCTGAGCTCATGGCATATCCATCATCCCCTTATGCGCATCAGAGACACCCTTCGCTCGATTCATTACCAGATCTCACACATATTCCGAGAGGGGAACCGCCCCGTCGATTTCCTTGCTAGCACGGGGGCATCTATACCTCAGCGACGTATCTTTCATCCAGAGGACATCCCCCTCCGGCTTCGGACCCTCATTCGGATGGATCAGCTACAGTACCCATCCTTCAGATTCGGACGACCGGCACCACCTGATCCTGACTAGACTTGTCGTTTTTGGTCTTCATGCCAGGACACCTTGATCAGGATGACCTTTCATGAGGACTTGTCTCTAGATCCACATCGGATATTTTTTTATCATTGTATATTTTGGTTTGCTGTTTTGATGATATTTTATGTACTTTTCGACATTGATATAGACCCTTGACTTTTTAGCCCTCTTTGAGCCATTATATTCATAGGTCGGGGGTGTAGCCTCAACCCCACATTCCACATTAAGATATTTAAAAAAAAAAAATAATAATAATATTGAGTATTATAAGCGTAATTGAGCCCATCTGCACATCGAAACGTACATGAAAACTATTACTTGCATTGATTGACAAAGATTGTGTGCATTGATTATTTCTATGTGCTCATAAAACCGGCATAGTGTTATTAAGTAAATTCACTTATTCCTTATATTTATTTATGATACAAAATTTTTAAACTTGTTTCAGACTTCAGTAGGAGCCAAATACACCAAAAAATAAGGGGAAAAAAAGAGAGAAAAAAACAGCAAGAGCAGCAGCAATTGCTACAAGCCTACAAACACACCGTAATTGGCTGTTAGAGCCAGCCAGCCTGTAGTTTAATGTTTCCATATGCATAGTTATCTGTGTAGTGTATATATACTCAGGGCATGGCCATAATTTATTTCAATGTTCTTACTTTGTGATTCGACTCTCTTCGAAACCATTTTGTGAGCATGGCTCGGAGCCTGCATTGATAACATCTAGTTTGGTTCACAAGAAGCTCGGCTGGTTGGTCGAAGATAGTAGCCGTGCCCACATTCTGTCCGTGATCACCACCTTCTTC